CTGATGCAGCCACTGCCCATGAAAAGCATGCTCTACGGGGTAAGAAAGGTGACATGAAAGACTGTCTGGTCTAGGCAGAGAGAGGGCAGACGCCGAAGGGGACGGGCACAGGGTAACAGCTGACAAGGAAGCCAGGCCCTAACTACTGGGAAGGAGTAGGACACTCCTCAGAGAGGTTTGCCAGGGTGACAGGGCCAGAGCTCGTGGGGCTACCCTGATGGGGAGAGGGCAAGTCCTACAGCTTGCAAAGTCCCTCTTACCTTCTGCAGCACCCTCTCGTCCCTCACCTCCTCCAAGCCTCTGAGCAACGTTACTCATAAAACTACTATTGGTACCTTCCCCAGGGAAGAGCACGCTGATTGCTTGTCCAGTGCCAAATGGTCAGCTCTGAAAGCACACATACAGGTAGCATTATGTGGACTGAACCGGCTTTATTTAGGAATATACAGTATATAAACATATACGCAAGCAATAACAATGAATGAAAAAAGAGGCTATGAATTTGAAGGAGAGCAGGAAGGGACATATGGGAAAGTTTGGAGAGAGAAAAGTGAAGGGGAAAATGTAATTAAATTATAATCTTAAAAAAGCAAAAACTGCTTTTGGCAACTAAATAATAATAATAATTAATAAAAGCACAAACTGTCAGGTGGCAGAGCTGAGCTGGTGAGTGCATGGACCTGACTATTACCAGACTCCAGCTGCTCCACCCCCACAATCCCACTTTTCCACTAGTGCTGCTAACTGTTCCCTTTCCACAGCCTGTGCAAAACGCTACCAAGTATGGCAACATGACCCAGGACCACGTGATGCACCTGCTACTGGTGAGTGTCAGGGCCAGTGGGCGGTCCCATGAGACCCTGACCCTCATTCACATGCTAGGCTCACTATATAAACTCAACATCTTCTCACCCCAAGGAATATAAGGTGACCCTTAAATATTGCATATAGTCCACCCCTCTCCCGAGATAAGTGTCTATATAGTCCTGGAACTGGCTATGCTATGTAGACCAGGTTGACCTTGCACTTGAAGAGATTTGCCTGCCTCTGCTGGGATTAAAGTGCATCACTATGTCAGGCTCTAGCTTCCTCATTAAAAAAAAATTATTATTGTGAGCCACCATGTGGTTGCTGAGAATTGAACTCAGGACCTCTGGAAGAGAGGTGACTGCTCTTAACCTCTGAGCCATCTCTACAGTCCCTGCTCCCACAGTTCTGAGTTGGAAAAAATTAAGGTCCAAGTCTTGGATGTGACTTGGTCACTGTACCCCATTCTCTTTCCAAAATTAGTATCTCACATGCCTGCTCTGTGCCGGGCACGGGTTTTGTGTGGCTAATACCCATTCCTCAGAATGAACACCTGGGAACACGGGGTCACACTCCCATCCACTTGCATATCATGGAGTCCCATGAAACGTTCCTCTTGCCCTGCCACTCGGCAGAGATCTGGACCCCTGGATTACCCAAAGCTGAAGGGGACCTTCCCAGAGAACCTGAAACACCTGAAGAACTCTATGGGTGGCCTGGACTGGAAGGTGAGCAGCTTCTTTTGACTCTCAACACGGTAGCCTCAGGATTAGAAAGCAGGGAGGGGTGGGCTAGGGGAGGTGTTCTCTGGGCTACAGGGGACACAACACCCACAGAAATCCTGTGGGTCTTTAAGAGGCACCCAGGCTGCAGCTGGACTTCAGATGTTGGGGCTGTGTGATCCTCCAAGTTTGTTGTCGGGTGGAGTATGGTTGGGTAGGGTGTTGACCCCTGACCCTGATGACCTGTCTCTATTCTCATTAGGTCTTTGAGAGTTGGATGAAACAGTGGCTCTTGTTCGAAATGAGCAAGAACTCCATGGAGGAGAAGCCCACTGAGGCTCCGCCTAAAGGTATCAGGATGGGAGTTTCAGGATGCCAGGGCCCCATGGAGCTGAAGTTAGGACTCCAGCACTCTTGCGCGAAACTTGGAAACTCAAACAATTCCCCATCCTCTCAGCTCACTGTCTCTTCTTGCCTGTTCCTTCAGGCTTTGGAACCCCAGACACGCTGTTTGGGCCTGTTCTTTCACACACATACCCAAAGTATAGAGGCCTTTTGTTTCTCTGTCTTGGAGCAAATCCAACTCAAAACATACCAGGCAGGAGTCCTCGGAAGGACACCTCCCAGCACTAGCTCAGCACTGGGGAGGCAGAGGGCCAGAGTCACCGAATGCCCAGGGCCCTAAGCACCTCTCACTTACCAGCCATGCCTGCACACAGGAGCCCAGAGACCCAGAGCATTGGGGGATGCCTTGCTTTACCTTGGTGCTGTCTCTTACTTGTGCAGAGTTGGGCAAGCCTGTTCCCCTGGGCTTCTGTGTCTCACAAATGCAAGGTTAGCGGTCCATTCTGCTCTGGACCCCAGTTTCTCTGATACACAGAAGAGAGCTTGCATGTGTTCTCAACCAACTTCCAGCTAATTTTTGAATCCCCCTTTCAGCCCCATTTCTGCTTGGGTTATCCCAGTGATACTAAGGTCCGACTCCCAAAGGTGTCCCCACTACTGTCCCCCAGAAATCACAGTCAGAGGTAGTTACTAACTGTAATAGAATATGAATATGTTCCCAGGCAAATGACTCTAGCCGTGCTTTTTCCTTTTTTTGGACCTCACTGGTTTCAGCCTGGGGCCTCAGTTTTCCCATCTGTGCCGTGGGAGGAATAAGGAAAGCAGCTTGGATAGGCATTAGGCCCACGACAGTAGTGTGTGGGTCTCTGCTCTGTTGAGATCCTGGCCCAGAGCCCACTCACTCACTGTCTTCATCATGCCTGTAGCTTCAGTACTGACCAAATGCCAGGAAGAGGTCAGCCACATCCCTGATGTCCATCCGGGTGCGTTCCGTCCCAAGTGCGATGAGAACGGTAACTATATGCCACTCCAGTGCCACGGGAGCACTGGCTACTGCTGGTGTGTGTTCCCCAACGGCACCGAGGTCCCTCACACCAAGAGCCGTGGGCGCCACAACTGCAGTGGTAAGCAGGGGCCACTATGTCAGTAATCTAGAGAACTAGGAAGCGATAGGAAGGACGAGGGTACTGAGGTGCGTCCTAGTAAACATGGGGTCAGGACAGGGGTTGCCACTCTCAGTCACGCATCTGGCTCTTCATCCCCTGGGCACTCCTGTGCGTGCCGCTACCCTCTCTCCTCGCACATTCTCCACACGCTGTCCTACACTGGAGACCCCCATCTCACCACATCCCTAACCACTATACACTGTGGTGCCTCCTATCCCAGGCTCAAGGCCATACCCGGTTGGGAAATACGCCTTTGTGTACACTGGCAACAAAGTGTGTGTGTGTGTGTGTGTGTGTGTGTGTGTGGTGGGGTATGAACAGCATCGTGATTCCTTTGCAGAACCACTGGACACGGAGGACCCATCTTCTGGCCTGGGAGTGACCAAGCAGGATCTGGGCCAAAGTAAGGGGGGCCGCCCATACTCTGGTGGTGCAGCATGATACTGGGCCATTCACCCCCATCACTGGGCTAGCTGGCTTTTACAGAACAGGCTGGTGGCTGGGCCCAGCGTGGGGGTGCCGGGGGATGCTGGGAAGAGGCAGGGTCAACGACAGGTGTGACATCCACGTCCGTCCGCTTCTGCTTCCCTTCCCAGTTATGATGTGAAGACGGAGGCCAGCTCTGCATAGCGGCAGCTTTCCTGGGCCCCAGCCTTCCTACCTTCCCTGACGTCACACCCCACTTCCTGCCTCCCTGCACCTTGGGGCTTGAGTGGTGTCTGCTTCATCATCCCTGGACACGACAAACCAGAATAGAACGAGGATGCTGGAGGGCCCTGCTGCCCACCCCATCTAAAGGGAGACAAAGCTCAGAGTGGGCAATGCTTGGTGGACGCCCATTTCTGACCCTTTACAGTCTCCAATGTGGGGCTTTGAGATGTAGGCCCACTCAGGGATGGGGGGGGTGCTCGACTCATAACCCACTCCGGACACATCTGCCATCTTCTCCTCAAGGAAGAACTCACCCTCCTTCCAACAACCTTTCTCAGCTCCTGCCAACCCCCAAGTCCCTTGCTCAGCCAAGCTTGTCAGCAGTCTATAGGATCATGGCTCATGTGACAATAAAAGGTAGTAAGTAGAACATTCTTGCTCCTGGCTCTTCTGTTGAGATCCAATTAGTTTACCCTAGGACAGTCAATGAAAGCCTTAAACCTAGTCACCTAGGTAGGCAGTGTCCGTGGAGCCCGGCGTGGTGGGCCGCAGATACTTAGTACCTGTTTAACATTCAGAAAGAAACAGACTCTTACCCAGTTTTAAAAGCACAGCGCATGGTGTCCCAGCTTCTAATCCCCATGTCCCCAATTCCATTTCTGTACTAAGAACAGCATAAGTGTGAAGACAGATGGCAATGGACACAGGGGCCTAGTGTCAGGAATGGATGCAAATGGGGGCTGCCACCAGCTGGCCGTCTGTGCAGGACCCAGGGCTACTCAGCTCAGTCCATTGCTGCTGGAAAAGGGAGCCGATCCCTGGTAAGCCCAGGAGTCTGACGTGAACATTAGTTCCGTTTTTACCTTTAAATACTTCTGAGTCAGCACAGTCAACGAGACCCTCCTCTGCAGTCTGATGGAGACCAACACAGAGGTAATGAAGGGAATGGCTGTCCACGTTGGGTGGTGTCCCAAGACTCTGCGCACAGGGTCTCCAGGACCTCCAGCAGGAGGATGGAGGGCAACTCTGGGCCTCGCTTACTGGTCCTTCCACCCTTCCCATGGGGCCGCTGATGTCCCTGCCTCCCTCCACACCATCCTAACTCCAAAACTTCCAAAGGCCCCTTGATCACCCCCTCGAGCTCAGAGGCCACCTCCTTCAGGGAGCCCTCTCTTTGGCAAACTGTCTCACGCACAGTATCGTAGGGCTTGGCATGCAGGCAGGCAGGAGTCCTGTGCTCCCCCAGAGTTGCCATAGTCTTTCCTAGTCAGTAACAGTGCAGGCCCAGATGCACAGGGGAACTCAAACCTTTACATTTAAAGTTTTTTATTTTAAGTTCTTAAAAAAACCAAAAAACCCCCAACAGCTGGAAAGCTGATAGGACAAGGCCTTGGGATAAGCCAGGGATCCAGGGAGTGGGGTGGACTAACTGCAAGTGGGACCTGGCTGGGTCTGCAGAGCAGAGGGAGGGAGGTCCTGAGGCCTTCGCGCACGGCGGATTTGCAGGGGGAGGCAGGTCACTTACAAAAATATATATACTGTACACATCTTATGCAGCACTCAGAGGGGGTGGGTGTGCTTCTCCCCACTGCCTTCTGGGACTGCCGCCTCCTAGCAGGCTCACTGGCTAGGTCAGCAGCACACACTGGAGTTGGCCATCGTCTTCTGTCGAGGGAGGGAAAGTTAAAAAGTCCAGTCCCAACTCACACTGGCCAGAGGTCAGGGGTCTGGGGACAGTCGCACTCTGACAGGACTCTAGAAGGAAGCAAACCAGGCTTTGGTCACATCTCCCGAACTTTGCCTCCACAAGGAGAGCAGAGCTAAGGGAGGAGCACCAGCCTCGCTCAGGATGGGTCTTGCGCAGGTGGCTGATACACTTGCCGACAGTGCCCCTCAGTCCCTCTGACACCGGGGAAGGGAGTTGCTGTCTCTGGCTCCCTCCCTTACCTGCTTTATGTGCTGGTCCTCACACGGCAGGCTCTGCCGTCTTCTTCTGTGAAGAGAGGAGGACAACATGATCTTAGTGCTCACCACTGTGGCCCCATCTCGCAGGGCAGGGCTCCCTGGAGGCAGGGGCTGTACCTCATGGGCATCTCCGGAGCCACACCCCTGTAGCTCCCACTGCTAGGCTTGCCTGTGCTTCCAGGCCTGGACCTCAGGAAGTAAATGGCTGTCTCTTCGGTGGGCAGGACATGTGGGCCAGGCATTTCCCCATCCCCTCTTCTCACCTGGGGGCTAGCTGGCTGTAGCCTACCCAGTCCTGCCCGTGGAGGTCTCTCCTATCACCCCTTCCCCGCTCTTCCTCACATGGTCCCGGTGTTGGCAGGGGAGGGTCTGAATTTCTGGCCCAAGAGCTCCCAGGAACTCAATCTACCTTTTTCTTCTTCTTCTTGATCTGTGAGTCAGGGTCTTTGGCTGAGGTCTTCTTTCCTTTCTTCTTTCCCTTTTTGTCCTTGCCTTTTTTTTCTGAGGGAAGAAAGGGAGTTCTGACACTGAGTGCGTCAGTGTTAGGAGGCCCACGGCAGCTCCCAGCTCCTACGTCACGGGGAAGCCAGCCCTGATGGGGCCAGGGTACCCTTCATGTGCCAGGGCTCCATGCTTCCTGTCCATGGACCACACAGTCTAGGGCCTCAATACTAGCCGTGCAAGGTCTTTACCACAGAGCTATATATGTCCAGTCTTGAACTACCTCACTTTAAGAACCCCTCCCCCACACTTATTTTTAAAAAGACAGGAGCCCCATGGGTTCCCGACATCAAGGGGCAGCAGGCCCTCACAGGAGGGACCAGACGGCCAGATATCTCTTCTCCCAGACTCTTGCCACAGATGGGCAGACAGTGCACAAGAGGATTTCCATGCTGGGCGTGGTGGTGCACCCTTTTAATCTCAGCACCCAGGACACAGGGGAAGGTGGATTTCTGTGAGTTCAAGGTCAGCCTGCTCTACAAACTAAGTTTCAGGCTGGCTAGGTTACACAGTGAGACCCTGTATCAAAACAACACAAAAGGGGACTGCCCAGCAAAAGTGGCCTCTCCTCCTCAGAGCCTGTTTTCCATTTAGAAAATGAAAACCAAAGTCCCCACTGCCTGGGGCTGACAGGGCAACTCAAAAAGCCCCTGGGTGCAGGTTCCAGCATGGAGGGCAATAAATGCTGCTTTCACTGAGGAACTGGGCTCTAGAGGAAGATGGGTCCCGGATGAGGATGCAGGCACATTCTGCACCTCCAGAACCCACAGTGGACTCTGGTGTGACGCAGGTTGGAGTGGAGTGCTTCCTGTTCCCATCCTTGTGAAGCTGGAGTTGAGCTTATGCTTTCTACAAGCTAGTGTGGGTGTAAACGCTTGGCACTGTGAGGGTCCCCTGGGCTGTGGGGAGCAGGCCATGCTGCAGAGGCCCAACTGCTCGGCAATCGACGTTTGGCTTTGCCACCAGACACTCGCTCTAGACAAGCCACTCCCCAGGCTCTTGTTCTTTGTGGAAAGAACGAGCCAGAGGCCGCCCATCCCAGCCCTGCAACACAGCATTCGCCGGGGCAGCAGTCACTTACTTTTACTGGATTTCTTCTTTTCCTTCTTGTTCTTTGCGTCATTCTGCTCTCCACTCTCAACCTGTGACCCCGGCTCACTTTTGGACTTCTCCTTGGCCCCTTGGGAGCCAGGTGACCCCTTCTCCTTGCCATCAGCATTCACTTCGGCCAGCTTGGATTTCGTCTTGGAAGTCCCGGAAGCCTTCCTTTTCCTCTCTGGGGCCCCGGCTGCTAGCTGGTCCCCCGAAAGCTTCCGCTTATGGCCCTTTTTTCCACTCTCCTTGATGGCCGCTGTGGCCTTCTGCCTTTCCTGCTCCAGCAGTTCTGTCAGAGCCTTCACCACAGAGGCCTGCACCTGCGCCTCGCTCAGGGGCCAGGCCTGCTCCCGGAGGCACTGGCTGATGCTGTTCTGCAGAGCCTGTGTGGGTGTTGCTGAGGTCCACGTGCTCTTCTTGGCCTTCTTGGCCTTCGGAGGTGTGGTTTCTGAGGAGGTCTCTTTCCTACCTGTGGATCACAGGTCTCGGAGGTCACAGGTCTGGAAAGCTGAGGGACAGATCTTATACAATATAAGAACTGATGGGGTTCATCTCCTTACAACTGTACAGATGGAAACCGAGGCCCTGGGGGTCACTCTCTACATCACCCCCATGCTCCTGCCTTACACAGGAATCTCACCCTAACTTCCGGCTCTACTCTATGTCCTCACACCAAAGACTGCATCCAGTTATGGCTGGGGATGGACAGTGACCCCAGAACGCTAATGAGAGGGCGGGCTTGAAGTCTGCCAACAAGACGGAGGGGACATCAGGTGGGACACAAGCGACTCAGGTGCTAGGTCTGCCTTTATCAATTTACTGTAAGGCTCTGGCCAGGTCACAGGCCTGTTTCTCATTGTAAAACAAGAAGCTAGAAAAGCAATGGTGTCCTCCGCCATGAATTATAGATTTACACCGCAGGAGAAGGTGCTGCTGGCTACTGTCAGCTCCTGTCCCTGGACATATGATGGCTCCTTGACCCATCAAGGCTGGGGCAAGAGGCAGACCGGGAGAACTCTGGGTATGCTGTGTACGCATGTGGTGGCTGACTAAGCAGGTTTACTGCCTGCCAGAGTGACTTCTGGTACAGCCTTTGTTTAGAATTTTCCACGCCTCTGCTTGCCTTTGATAATTGTGTGCTGACTACACGTGTAAAAAAAAACCCTTCCACAGCCCCCTCGAAAATGTCTCCCTGTCGCACCCGCCTCTCACATAGACAAGAACACGGGGAGGAAAGTGAGCAACAACTCCGCCTCTGACCCAGTGCAGGAGAGCTGAAGCTAGAGCCCAGAGCTTTCGGTCCTCTGACCCAGTGCAGGAGAGCTGAAGCCAGAGCCCAGAGCTTTCGGTCCTCTGACCCAGTGCAGGAGAGCTGAAGCCAGAGCCCAGAGCTTTCGGTCCTCCCGACTTCTAGCCTCCCAGGTCACTCGGGCAGGCCTCTACCATTCTGTGCCGCACACAATCCCTACATCTTGTGCTCAGGGGTTGGACCCTAGCAGCTTGCCTCAAGCAAAAACTGACAGGAATGGAGTGGGGGGTGGGATGGAATGTCCCACCTAATGTCATGTGACAATTTTCTGTATGTTGACAGTACATGGAGGCATTCCTCTTGCCTTGCATGGTGAAGACATCGGGGCCCAGGAGCTTTTGCTACAGAACGAGTCAGAGTAGTCCCAGAGACCAGTCCACTATATAGCAAATTCTAGAGACAGGGTTGCTGGCCAACTCTGAGTCATTCTGAGTCCCTATACCCAATGCCCTGGCCCACTAACTAAGAAAAGTCACTAGGGACAGCTGGAGAGCCAAGGCCTCCTCCACGAGTCCATATCAGCTGCTACAGCTTCATTAGCTCCAAAGGGGTAGCTATACTTGCTCCCAGGGTGCCCAGGGCTGGAAACCTGGTTTTCCTTTCTGGTTCCTGAGGTTCTCGCTTCTCCCAGCTGCATTTGAGGGTAGTTCCAGTCCCCACAAAGGACCCACGGGCTTGCACTTGAGACATGTTGATGGAATACAGGCAAACATTGGTGAAACTGTTGCCATGACAGCAAGCAGGGACCAGCAGCCTTGACCCTCCATGCCCTGCTGTCTCCCGACTCACCGGTTTTAGGGAACATGGTGTCTGTTGCATCCTGGGACTTTGATCTCTGCTTGCCATCTGGGTTATCTTTGGTAGCCGGAGCAGAGGAAACCAAGGGGTTGGAGTCTGGCCTAGGAGTGGCTTTTGAAGCCTGGGCCACAGTCACCTCAGGAGTCACATAACCTGAGAGAAGAGACTGAAGAAGCCCAGCGTGAAAGACTGAGCCCCTACCCTTACCCCTGGAGGCAAGGCCTGCTCTGAGGAGATCAGGTCAATGACCCAAGATCAGGCTAATCCAGCAAGTAGAGAAGTGACACTGGGCCCCCAGAGCCCAGAGGCCCTCAGTGTACGGCTTCTAAACTATGGGAATTAATGTATATTTCTGAAGGACTGTGAGTTCAAGGCTGGCCTGGTCTACAGAGTGAGTTCCGGGACAGCCTGTTACACAGCAAAACCCTGTCTTGAACCCTGCCCTCCCCCAAAACAAAGAAAAAAAGGGGGAGGGGATTTATCGCCAATAGACCATTACCATCACAGAAAAGCATTAGCATTTTGGGCTGTTAAGATGGCTCAGAAGGTAAAGGCACTTGCTATACAAAACAGCCAGGGTTCAACACACACAAAGGTGGAAGGAGACAACAGATTCCACAAAGTTGTTCTCTGACCCCCCACACCCGCTCCCCGCAAATGAGGAAATCATCTGTCTTGTACAGAGAAGAGTCTTAAGAGAGATCCAAGGAGTGGTTTTCCGGGCATGTCTTAGAGTCCATCTGAATCCCTTCCCAGACCCCAGGGCAGAAGATGAGGCGCTATTCTTTTGACTAAGGGCATCCCACAGATGGGACCTTACCCAGGGACCCGGAAATGGGAATCTAGACACTTGATCCAAGGAGTAGCTGAAGTCTACAGCTGCAGCTCCAAGCTCTAGCCCTTACCCTGGCAAGTTACCTGTGAGGGCGCCACCAACTCATCTTCACTGGATTCAGCAGGGGTCTCCTCCACCACAGTCTCCTTCTGGGAAAGGTCTGGATCTAGTGCAGAAGCACAGGTCTCCTATTGGCTGTGGGTCCCTGGCAGCCATGTTAAGGCTAGGCAGAGTGCCTCAGGAAGGCTACAAAGCCTGGGGCTCCCTATGCTCATCATCCTCCTGCACAGGGCCTCCCATTTCCCACCCATTGATGCCTAAAGCACTCTGCCCGACACATTTGAATGTCATGGTTTTCCTTTCTGGTTCCTGAGGCTCTCGCTTCTCTGCTTTCCCCTGTAAGGAAAGCAGAGTCCTGAGACGTGGGACGTTCAATAAGAGAAGCCCGATACCCAGGAGTTGCCCACGGCTAAATAGCAGTCAGGTCTTTTAAGTCATGCAGTTACACCAGTGGATGAACAGGCCCAGGGTGGGGTGAGAAGGCCAGGGCCTACAGCTCTACCAGGTTGTGCCTTATCTGAGAATGCTCACCCAGTCTGGGGGCTGACTTGGCCATCTGGGGTCTCTTGGCATCCTCCTCGCTCCCTGAAGAGCTGTCACTGCTATCACTTGAGCTGCTGGGGTAGCTTGAGGGAGGCTGCTGTTTTGCAGGAAGTTTGGGTTTTCTGGGCTTGTTGGTTGTTTTGGACTGGACAGGTGTGCTCTGGGGAGGTGTCACAGGGAGTGTCTGCACGGCACCGCTGATCTAGTTCGGTACAGAGAGAGTGCAAGAGAAGATATACATTGAGAGGTACATAATAAGGCCAGGCCTTATGTGGGAGGCTTCATAAGTGGCTTCCCATGATTTTTCCCACAGCTTTCTGGTGGGCCCTGCAGCTTCTTATTCTGTACCAGGACACTGAGGCCCAGGGAGGTAAAGTAAGGGCTAGTGGTAGGAGACACAACCATGCTGGGCTCTCACTGAGGCACGGCAGAGAGAACCCAGCCATGTGTATGGGAGGAGAGTGGGTTCAATATGGCCTACACAGCCCACCAGACAGAGTACTCGAAGCTGGGGCTCACTGGCTATGTGTGTTCATGTGTGTGCACATGCACACTTAAGAACACACACACACACACACATACACACTTTAAGCGCACTCATGCTCATGTTGAAGCTGTAAATTCAGGAGCTGTTCTCAGGAAGCCATCCATGTTCTTTGTCTCTCCGTGTGACCTGGGGTTCACCAATTAAGACTGGCTGGCTAGTGTGCCCCAGGGATGGACATGTCTCAGCCACCCTAGTATTGGGATTACAAACCCCTGCCACCACGCCTGGCTTTTTCCTGTGGCTACTGGAGAATGAACTCAGGTCCTCGCTCTTGCATGACAAACGTTTTACCCACTGAGCTATCTCCCCAGTCTGTTCACCGGCTTTTTGTTTGCTTTGGAACTCGCTCTGTAGACCAGGCTGGCCTTGAACTCACAGAGAGCTGCCTGCCTCTACCTTAAGGGATTAAAGGAATGTACCACCACTACCCAACTAATTTATGTTGCTTTTCCTGTTTAATGGCTGCCTCTTTGCTGGCTTGGGAGCCCCATGAGGGCCTTGTACCTGCTGTAGCCTCAGTGCCCAGCAGGGCAGATGGTCAGTGCCCTCTGTTGAGATGACCACAGTCCATTAGTGCACACAGCCACACGCTCCAGGAGCTCTTTTTGCCTACAGCTTGTAATGCACCCAGGAACAGGGTGGCACAGCAGCCCTTCGCAGCTGGAAATATCCAGTGCTTTAGCACGGCTCTCTCCTGCCCTCAGGGGTTTGGGTGTGCAGAGGACTCCTCTCCACACGACAGTTAACAAACCCCAGTAGGTCAGCAAAGCAATGAACCTGGAGCGGGAAAACCCAGGTTCTGGCCTGAACTGACCCTGGTGGGATGTGCCCTCAGTTCTACTTAGACATTGTCCACTCACCAACAATACACTGAAAACGGCGGTGGTCAGGAGAAAATGCTAAGGTCACTTCCATTCTGAATACTAAGGCAAGCAACTCATATTCACAGCATTTCAAAACCAGGAGACAGAAAATGAATTCTGAGTCCAAGCTGCGAAGGAAGGGGAGGGAATTCCACTTGCCTTCCTGACAACACCATAGGGATTTGGGAGCTTGGCTCTAGGCCTGAATGACAGTGCCAGGGTGCTGGGAGAAAGCCACTGCCTGCCATGCAGCCTAGTGGCACACCAAGGCAGCAGAGTGACCCTCCCACAGCCCTCTCTTACCCGACAGTACCTGAGTGGATGCTGCCTTTGGTTTCTTGCCTTTTGGCATCTGACTAGATGGCTCACTCTTGCCGGGCTGGGAGGCCATCCGTGGGAGGGATGTGGGCACAGTTGCCACATTGGTTTTAGTGGCTGAAATGGAGAAGAGAGGGTAGTCAGGGTACAGAAGTGCTATGATTCCCCGGCAAGGCATTACCCAATTACCAGTCCCCCCCCCCACCTGGTGTCGGGTTTAGGATCATAAAGCCAATGTCAGCTTACTTTCCTCAAGCCTTCCAGGCAGCAGCTGTCATGTCATTTGACAAGGCTCAGGGCCTTCAAATGGCTACTGCGGCAGTGACTCCAAGCCTTATCCTCATCTTTTTCTCTTGAGCAGGCTGCTACTCCTAAGCAACAAGCTAGACCATGGTGCCAGAGACTCTTCACAGCTCGGAATCAGTGTGAGAGCGGCCGGGTGCTGACGAAGATATGCTTATCACAGCCCAACAAGATCTTATGTCCCCATTATGTGCCAGTCAACCACAGCACTATTTTGCTGCCAGTAGGAATCTTGCTGTCTGTACATAATGACAGAAATGTCACAAGTGTCCTAATATACTTCCAGAGGGCCTTGCCACATACAAATCCACTAATCCACCGTAGGCTTGGGGACGAGACCAAGTATAAAATGTTACCTGTCTTCTTTTTGTACGCTACAATGGAAGCTCACTGCTGGGCTGACAGCCCATCCCACAGCCAGCTGGCTACAGCCGAGCTGTCTTAGACTAGCCTGGTCCCTGCAGCTTCTAGCCATCAAAATGCTCGGGCTTTCAGGCTTGAGACGGCACACAGAAGCCTTGAATGCGATTCCTTCAAAACAAGGCAAATAAATAAGCCATCCTCATCAAAGTAACAGTGCAGGGACCGAGGACGAGCTTCTAGTCCTCCTGGCCAATGCCTCTGCTATGCCGCTTGCTTGGTCTCCACAGGAAAGGGCATGGGCAGCGGCAGCCCCTCCTAGCTGAGCAGTAAATGCAGCAGCACTCACCTTGAGTGGAGGGCTGTGTAGCAGGAATCATGTCTTCGTCCTCACTCTCAGAGGAGGAGCTCTGGGCCACAGTGCCTGAGGCCTGGGCCTTCCTCGGGATGTTCACAGCCTGGACTTGTGAAAGGGTAGCAGCTGGCCCAGCTGGACTACGATTAGGGTTGGCAGAAATCAGAGGGGATTTAATCACCTTGAAAAACAAAAACAAAACACACACACCCAGTGATTAAAGGCTTGGCCAGGGAAAGGGAAGGGGAAATGGGTGAGGGAGGGTTTTATAAGGCAAAAAGTTCAAGGAGCTTGGGCATCTGCAGCCCACTCCCACCTGTACCAGCTGACCCTCAGCGCAGCACTTCATAGCTCATAGGAGCCCCGCTGACCCTCAGTGACCCCCAAGGTAAGCAGTATACACGCCACTGGACAAATGGGAAGGGCTTAAGTCCAGAGAGGAAGAGTGGAGGGCCCAGGCCACACAGCCAGATAGGAAGCAAGGCGAAGAGCTGGAATGTCTGATTTAGCCTTTCTTCTGATGACATCAGATGGCCACCTGCTAAGCGGGGAGTTCTAAAAAGCATTTCCCATAGCAGCCTGGCTATAAGATACGGTTTTCCTGAAGTCTCATCATCCCTTCCCCCAGAGATCCTGATAAGCCTCCCTGGGGTATGGCCCAGCATACAGCTCCCAGTTATACTGATCTAGTTTCTTTAGTACATAAGCTGCCCAGGGGTAACAGTGAGTGGGCAGTGGGAAAACCACATCAAGAAAGGGTTCGAGAATATAACGTAGTGTGTGTGGCTCTTATTTGTTTCGAGACAGGTTTTTCTTTGTAGCTCAGCCTGGCCTTGAATGAAGAGATCTACCTGCCTTTGTACCACTACACACTAACCTCATTTGGATTCTTAAATAGGACAAGTATAAAAATGTCTGTCACTCGTCAGATAATTCTGACTCCTGAGCCTCCTGCCTGGTCTCCTAAATGCTGGGATTGTAGACATGCTCTCGAATGCCCTGATTCATCATTTCACCTTTGGGCCTGCCCTGAGATGGTAAAGCAGCACAGATAGTTGGACTGGGAAGGCCAGTTTAGCAGTGAACCACAAATTCCCAAATGTGTCGCCGCACACCAGGGGGCTCTATTTTCCTCCAGAGCCCCAGGCAAAGAAGGCAGAGTCAGGAGTCAGGAAACGGGAACTCTACTTTCGACTCTCCACATCAGGACCTGTTCAAGGCTGCTTGTGCTTTGGTCAGTGGAGGGCTGTCTGCGGCCCACAGAGGGACACAGTCGTCCACTACAACACCCTGCCCCGCCTGCTGCGCTCCATCCCTCCACTCCAGGGGCTGGGGGCAGAAAGAAAGCATCGGGGAGCTCAGCACCGTGGTACCCACCAAGCGAGGCAGCGCTGCTGCACTCAGGTCCTCCCTACCCTGCCAAACAGCCTCCCCCGCGGCTGCTCTGATCCGCCACTTCCAGAGCCTTCCTTCCCACGTGATGCAAAGGAGAAGGGTGGAAAGTGGGAGAAGGCTGTGGTGGAGGGAGGGGGATCTATATATATGTGAGAAGACAGAAGAACAGATTGTTGGGGACCAAGAGAGGCAGCAAACCCACTGAGGCAAACAATAGCGTCTTGGGATGTTAAAAGCAGCTCCGGAGCACAGCCTCCTCCAGTTCCACCTGCCCACACCACCCCACCCCAGTGCAGCGAGGGCAGGAGGCGGAGGTGGTAGTGGTCTGGTGGCTGGGGGCAGGCTAAGCACAGGGAGGCGGTGTTCAAGGTCTCTAGCATTTGCTTGTCACCAATGCCCTGGGTGAGCAAGCCCAGCTGCCCGTCTGTTGAGAGGCCTGCTAACAGCCCCCACCTGGGTGTGCCCACCTCGAGGAATGCACAAAGCCCAGCACGTGTGGACTGTGCTTGGATCAAAGAACTCGTCAGAGGCAAAACAGGGAAAGAGGACATCACCTTCGCTGGAGCATCCCACTGTTCCCTGTGGGTGCTGGGTACTGAGAGCAAGGAGTGGGGTGGGGGATGCCCTTCCCATTTGCAGAAATGATGCTTCCAGAAACATTTGGGGTGCTTTGGGCAGTGCCCACTGCCTGTGTCTCAGCTGGGTTCATACCCACTGTGTCCTTATTCCAGTAAATCTGGGCCAAAGTGGGAGGTGGGGCTGGGCTAAAGGGGCACAGTCACTGAGAATGTCCCTCAAAACTGCTTTGTGTGGTTAGAGGTGCAGATCAGCAGCAGGGTGGGTCCTTAGCACTTGTGAGGTCCTGGGTTCCACCCCAGAATCACAAAAACAAAAACAAAAAAAAAAAGAGGAAGATTATCATCATCATCATCACCACCACCACCATCATCATCACCACCACCACCACCACCATCATCATCACCATCACCTGAGGCCAGTTAACCCTGGGCCAATTCTACTTGGGAATGACACTTTTGGAGGTGCAGCTAGGAGACTTGAGAGGGCAAGCACCTCACCCAGAAGACCAGCAAACTGGTTTCAGGTCCTGGACTGGAAGGCAGCTCTCCAGGGACCAAGCAGGAAGGAGGTCCTTTCAGACCTAATCATACAAGCCCCCAATTAAGTACAATTTAGATTTTTCCAAGTTCCCTGTTCTCCGACTCCAGACAGGGCCCATTCCTTTGCTTTGGCAAAACACCAGATGAAGTAGTCTTTAAAGAAACGTGAGGGAGCTGGAGAGATGGCTCAGAGGTAGGACTTGGGTTTGATTCTTAGCCCTCGAATGGTAGTTCACAACTATCTGTAACTCCAGGTCCAGGGGATCTGACACCGTCTTCTAACCACCACAGGTACCAGGCACACATGTGCTGCACATACATACATACATACATACATACATACAGGCAAACACTCTTACATTTAGAGATAATTTAGGTGGGAGGTAAAAACTATGGCGTTTGACGTGTTGTGATACAATGCTATAGCACAGAATGGATCATCCACTCTACTTAATGTCTGCATTACCTCACATACTCACTTTGTTTCTAATTTGGTACCCCCCCTAGGTTCTGCAGCCTTGACGTTTATACGCCACACAATGGGTGAACTGCAGGAAGGGACCTGGGGTTAGCACTGATCTGGAGCTTGGCAAATGCTCTGGTCCCTGGCCCTTTCCCCACTGACAGGCTACTTAAAAACAACAAAACCACCAGTTTGGGAGGCTGAGGCAGGTGCAGCTCCAGTTACCAAGAGAGAAGTGCTCCATAAATGCCAAATAACAACACAAGCACAAGTAAGCTAGGACTCTCCCAGAGGGGAAAATGACAGCTTCCCAGGCTGTGCCCACTCCTCTGAATCCTTCTGGGAACCCAGAAACTACAGGCTTTGTTTTTTCAAAATAGAGACTCCAGATCTTCAAGACTAATGTACCAATTTGACAGTTCAATTTCAGCATAATGCTTATTTTAATTGTGCTAGTCCCCTCCCACAGAGACAATCAAGGCAGTCTTCCCTCCGCGCTGAGGTGCCTCAGGAAGACTGTACAGCAGCAAGCCGACGTCCTGATGGATGAAGTGAAGGGCCTGAGACCAGCAGGTGTTGGGACACAAGGAAAGTGTGACAAAGCCAACCTGCTCACGACTGGAACTACCAAGGGTTGGGAGAGTGTGAAAGCGGACCATAGGGACAGCTGGGCTGGACTAGGTACAGACCGCCAGCATTTGAACACCATTCCCAGAGCTCTTTCTGAGCTACAGCCCCGTCTCCTCCAAAAAGAGGGCAGTGCTGTCTCTAGAAAGGCCTCGGTTCATATGGAGTATGTACCACCTTGGCGACTATTGGGCCTCTGAAGCCAGACACTTGGGGATAAGGCTAGGCAGGAACAGGAAACAGCAGAAAATGAGGTGCAACAGGTCGCCCAGGCTTGATTTGGGGTGAGGCCCATAGATTACAACTAGGCTTGCAGGAGAGGCTCTAGATTCCCAACAGTACCCAGACCAAAGGGGCCAAGGAGCAGTGCTGTGTTCTTTAAGCCTCTTTATGAGAGGTAAGGGGTTTTAATTCCTGGCCTGCCAGTGATCAGGCATTCCTACTCAGGCAGGGGACTTGGCCAAGGACCTGGGCCACCTGTATTGGTTCATAGTCACCATTACCAACTCCGTTTTACACAAAACACCTGAATCGTAAGAGGACCCTGGCCCAGCATGGTGGAGCTGGGGGTGTGAAACCTGCACCCTACCATGCTCTGTGGACTATCCACAGCAGAGTGTATCAGAAGACAGACGAGAGCTCAGAGGCTGTGAAGTGCTGCCTGCATGTGGTGAGATTGTCCCAGCAGGGAAGATGTACCCTCTTCCCGGAGAGTGACACCCAGGCTCAGCCAGCAGAGCCTTTAGAGAAGTGACAACCTACCTGGGCGGATGGCAGCTCCTCACTACTGCTCTCTGAGGACTCCTCTATGTTCTTTTCTGGGGCTGCAGGTGCTGAGGCTCTGCTCCTGGCAGGCTGGGAGGTAGCACCCTTTGGAGGGGACACGATTTGAATAAGCATGTGATAGGGAAGGGTGCCCAGCTGGGGAAACCTCGTGCTGATTCTCCAAGGACAGTGTGGTCTGCCTTTCCTTCCTTCCTAGGATAGCTAGGATAGAACTTGTTCCACAAACCAGGATGGCTTTGAACTCACAGAGATCTGCTTGCTTCTGCCTCCAGAGTACCAGGATTAATGTCAGGTGCCACCACTGCCGCTGGTGACCTTTCCGCATGAGCCTTTTAGGAGCAGGCTTCACGGAGCATGTGGTCCAAAGCCACAGAATTTGTCAATCAGCGAGGAAGAGCTGGCAGTGAGGCCAAGTAAGGGGAGGCCCAGGGAGGCCTCTATGCCTCCGTGAGTGGGTGGAAATGTACTCATGCAGCAAGTAGGACCCAGGCTTCCAGATTCTCAAAAGAAGTCAGAATATTTCAACTTGTATGTGACACCTCTTACTTCCTGTAAGGCCACGATTGGTTGAAAGTGACAGGGATCATTTCTTCTGATGATCTCCGCTGTCACCTTCCTAATGTGCCACATCACCTATCAATTCTACCAATGCCTGAGCTCAGACTAGACCTGTCACCTGAACAGAGCCAGCCTCACTGCCCTCTGCAACCAGGACAAGACTCTCTCTCTCTCTCTCTCTCTCTCTCTCTCTCTCTCTCTCTCTCTCTCTCTCTCTCTCTCTTTGGTTTTTTGAGACAGGGTTTCTCTGTGGCTTTGGAGGCTGTCCTAGAACTAGCTCTTGTAGACCAGGCTGGTCTCGAACTCACAAGGATCCGCTTGGGATTAAAGGCATGCGCCACCATGGCCCGGCCAGTTTCTCTTTCTTTCCCATTCCCTGGGCCCAGGTTTCACTAAGTCAGGCAGGCCCTCCTTAGACAGAGACTACAACAGCCCAAGCTTCCTTGTGGCTCTCTGATAGGAGTATCTTTGCAGGCTGGCCTCGTATACCTTGGCAGAACCTGCCTCAGCTTGTGTGGGACTTCTGGGCCCAGTGCTACAGAGGTCCTGTAAGCTAGGATAGGATGGCCTTGGTTTCAGACTTCTAGCACATTTCATCCAGAGGACATGGGGGCCTCGGGGGCAAGGGATCCTGGAGTTAGAACTTCTACCTGCTCTTCCCACCAGGCCAAGACCAATTTATGATGAAGAAGTTGGTGACAGTGGCTCCCAGGCCACTCACCTGGGCTGGGATGATCGCTGATGGCATCTCCTCATCACTGTCCGATTCCTCACTACTGCTCTCTGAGTCTTCCGTCTTCCCTGTCTGGGCCTGGGTAGCTGTAGGTCCTGTCTTCTTGGCGGCTCCTGGATGGGCTCCTTTTCCAGGGGACTCCTTAGCAGGGGCTGAGGCAGCTCTAACCTGAGAGGTCTTCCCCACAGGTTTTGTCTGGAGAAACAGCGAGGGGAGATAGCCGGAGGACCCAGGGAGATGCTGAGGCATACAGAGCTGTGCCCACAGGCCTGGCCCAGACACTGCCGTGACCCCAGCCCGGCCGGATACCTGGGCTGCTGCCTCTTCTTCACTTTCGGATTCCTCTTCACTGCTGCTCTCCGAGTCCTGCCCCACTCCAGCCACTGGCCCCTTCTGTGCCTGCACTGCTGGGGGCCCTGCTTTCCCTGTGGCTGGAACCCTTGCAGAGACAGCACTGTTCTGGACAGTACTCACGGGTGGCTTTCCCTGAATTGAGAGGTGGCAATGGTATTAGAGGAGGGGGACAGGGTCAGTGCTTCTTAGTCAAGCTCCTACCAGGGTATGGCTACAATAGAGGGTTATCAATGCTGGGTCCCCTTTTAGACTTATCCCAACTTTTTGTTGTTTCTGGTCCCACTTGCCTTGGATGAGCTCTCCTGCTTTGCTGGAGCAACTACAGTGTTCACTTTTCCAGATGCAGATACTGGCCGTTTGGCTGGAGACGCCTTAGTGGGAGGGGGGTTGGCTTTGGCCTGAAGAGGTTTCCCCGAGGGTGTAGTCTGGAAAGTAGGCAGGGAATCAGTAAGATGGAAAGTGACTTGCCACAGAGCAATAACCAAAGAACACTGCTGCTGCAGACACACTGTGCTTGTACTCTTCCCAACTAACAAGTGTGAACTCAACAAGTCACTTAAGCCAGGGGTGGTGGCGGCTCACACCTTTAATCCCAGCACTCAGGAAGCAGAGGCAAGCAGATCTCTGTGAGTCTAAGAGTGAGTTCCAGGACAGTCAGGCCTATACAGTGAGACCTGTCTGTAAGGATTCAGACACGATGATGGCCTGCCTCTGTCACCTGGCAGAATGCACTCAAAGCAGTACCCTAGTCAGCCCAGGGTTCCATGGCTACGTAGACTGCACACAGGTGCAAAGGACCCCTTTAAAGGAGACCCCAGCCTACTTATGCTCTCTCTTTTCCTGCTGTTCCCCTGGGGCAGACAGGACTTTTACTGTCTCCCTCTTCTCTTCTGTCCCCTGTCGCTTTATCTTATTTTCTTACCTCCCCTTCAATAAAACTTTCAACATGAATCACATCTCTATGTCTGTTTCCCCATTTGCCCCAGGGACTGCAATCCTCGAGGTCCCAACATGGGACCAGGGACCTGCCACCTGTAGTCCCAGTCCATTTATTCTTTATTCCTAACACTGTCTACAAAAACAACAAAACAAAACTCACTTAATTTTACTGGGCCTCAGTTTCACCTCTATAAAAGGAGTATAATAAACTACATTTACGAAGTTTCTGCAAAAATATTGTATGTCTAACACAGTACTGTGTCATTAACAAACGCTCACATTCCACACTGTACAGCCAGTAGGTATAATCCTACCCAGACGAAACTGGTTCCCTTTCAGCTAGGCATCAAGTCATCAAACTCTACTTAACAGAATGGAAGTTGAGTACCGTATAAACTGTAAACCTGTGTCTTTCTTTTCCCTGGAATGCCGAGGGAGCTGCGGCTCAAGCATCCACCTCAGCCCATGAAGTAGGAACTGAGTAGGAGGCAACAGAACAAGATAGAAACATTGTTTCAGGCTTTTCTGTTTCACCGCATCCTTTTTCCTTTTAAAGGATTTTTTTTTCAGATGTGGATGAGATTTTGCCTGTCTATGCGTCACCTTCACACCTGAAGCTGGTGGAGATCAGAAGAGTAGGAGTATCAGATGGTTGTGAGCTACCACGTGGGAACTAAACCCAGGTCTTCTGCAAAAGCAACATCTCTCCAGATGCTAATTATGCTCATCTAACTATTATCTACAGAATTCCTAAAGTATCTGTTAGGATTGCACAGTCTACAGCGATCAGAGTAACACAGGAGGAAACAGTTCAGAGTAAACACAGTGGTGGGGACCTAACCCAGGGCTTTGTGTATGGGAGGCAAGCACTCTACCACTAAGCTAAGGATGGCCTCAGCCAGTGTGAGACATCTGACACAAAGACTTTGCGGGCAACCCCAGTAGTGTGAAAGGGTAGCAGCACTTCCGGCCCTGACTTATTCAGATGTCATCTGGTCAGTGTCCAAGTAGCTCCAGTCTCTTAGTGCCCCTCATGTGTATAATAGTCAGGACTTAAGGAAGGCCCCCACAGTGCAGACTGTGACAAGGTCACTTTCATTTCCTCTTTTCATGGGCCAGATGGCGTGGCTCTCATTCTGCCACCAGCAGCCTAGCCCACTGCCAGTAAGGCAGGTGCCTGGGTAGTAGCTGGGCAGGTGAAATCCTACCCACACCCACAACAGTAGATTTCTGACAGGAGAGTAGCTAAGGCCCCAAGAATAGCACCATTCATCAGATGTACAACTGAAATCAGGTAGCTTGCCCCGGCCTCTGCCACTTACCCTGCTTCTGGTGCTACAAAAGTCAACTTTCTTTGCTTTTGTGCAGGCTGCTTCTCTCCTGAAGAGTTTCCCCTCTATTTCACCAGGTGACTTTCAGTTCCTCACTGATATGGCATTCCTCTTTTAAAATATCTGAGTGCCTGGCTAACCCTACTGCAAAACTCGACAAAGTGCCCCACCTTATCCTGCTGGAACAGTGTGCACAGGACCACACCTTGTCCAGGTGGGACCTCGTTCAAGGCCAAAGCCACAAAACTCCTGCCCAGAACAGCAGTGGGGAGAGTGCACGGGACACATCCAGATTTGTGGGAACCTAGAACCAAGGGGCTCAGGAAACAGAGGGCAGGGGAACTTGAGGCCCAGTCAGTCTGAGTCCCAGGATGCTGTGCTTCTGGGACCAAGAGTCAGGTGAGCCATCCTCAGTCTTGGTACAGGGTGGCTCCTCCGTCCCTCACCTGTGCTGAGGTCTCATCTTCCTCACTGCTGGCTTCCTCCTCGCTGTCCTCTGAGTCTTCCTGAGTTGTAATCCTGACATGGGCAACTGTAGGCCCTGGCCTCCCTTGTCCCAAGGCATCTCTCCCTTGGAGGCCCTTCCCCACAGACTTCCCCTAGAATGACAAGAGGATGAAGGGTTTTCACAGGAGCCTGCAATGCCCCATGGGGGAACAGCAGTGAGCCACCCGGGCAAATGTGGGCCTCACCTGCACCTTCGTGATGCCAGGAGCAGCTCCTGACCCCTCCTTACTAGAGGGTGAGGTGCTCACTCCCACAGAGGTGACCATGGCAGATGCAGGGGTGGCCGGGGTGCCTTTCCTAGGGGAAGCTGTTGTCTGCTTTCCCAGAGCTGGTTTGGCCTGTGGAGAAAGTGCAGGGGAAGGCTGGAGGGAACCCTTTGATTCCCAGGCCACATTTGTTCTGGGATGCAGCGCCTCCTGGCCTCCCTACCAATCAGAACCCAGGGAATTCTTGAAAGGAGGGGTATCGATTAGGGCAGTACCCGGCCAGCCATGCGGCCCCGCCCTCTCTTTTCTGGTCCCCACCTGAGCTGCAGCAGGAGCTGCTGGGGCTGCCTCCTCCTCGCTGTCAGTCGATTCCTCACTACTCTCTGAGTCTTCTTTGCGCCTTTTGATCTTGACCTGGGCAGCCACAGGCTCTGCCTTCTGAAGGAGTGCTGGGGTAGCCCTTTTCCCCAAGGCCTTTGCCTGGAATGAGACACACGAGAGGAGCAGAGAGCCCCAGGAAGGACTTAGGCAGCATCAGAGACCCAGACAGCAGGACCTGAGTGAAGGATCTGGGGCTGGCAGGCCACGTAGGCTCCCACGGCTCACCTTGGCTGGGGTCACAGCCCCGTCGTCAGAGTCCTCACTGCTGCTCTCTGAGTCCTCTTCTACCTTTCCCATTTGGACCCCAAGAGCTGCTGACCCTGCCTTCCCAGGGCAGGGCGGGTGGGCGCCTTTTCCAGTGGAAGCAGGTCTGACCTGCTGGCTTTTCCCCAAAGGTTTCACCTGTGAGTGACAAATGGCAACATCAGGGGAAGACGTTCTGGCTCTGAAGAGCCAGGATCATAGCATGTAGGCTTCCTGGACAGGGCACAAGGCTCCGGGTCTCACCTGGGCAGGACTTGTGCTTAGGGTCACAGCTGCTGGTGTCTTCTCACTGTCACTCTCTGACTCCTCACTGCTGCTGTCCGAGTCCTCCGGCTGCCCTGCCCGGGCCTGGGCTGCTGCAGGCCCTGCCTTCCCAGGGGTGACTAGAGGAGCCCTTTTCTGGGAGGACCCCTTGGCAGGGCTTGAGGTACTCTTGACCTGAGGCTTCTTCCCAGAAGGCTTCACCTGGTGTGAGAAAGTGAGGAGTGAATCAGAAAGGAGACAGCTGTGTGCAAAGCTCTGACAGAGCAGTCAGCCTTGTCTGTAAGAGGGGACAGGCTGGGACCAGCTGAGACTTTGACAGCAGCCTTCTACGTCTAGGCTGTGATGGGCCCTCCCCAGGTTCACCTGAGGAGCGGTCACAGCAACTGGCTCTTCATCCTCACTGTCGGAACTGTCCTCGCTGCTGCTCTCTGTCTCCTCTGGTCTTCCTGCCTTGACTTGGGTGACTGTGGGCCTAGTCTTCTCTGGTGGTGCTGAGGTGGGCCCTTTTCCAGAGACCTCCTTGGCAGAAACCGAGGCAGCTTTGGCATGAACTTTTCCAGGGGCCTTTACCTGGTGAAAGAGAAAGAACAGTTCATTCTTCTGAGTTCCTCTGCGGATGGTTAGGGAAAAGCCCAGAGGCTACCGAGACAGCAATTCCCTTCCCTTCTTCACTGATGTCCTTCCTAGCTACCTCAGCCCTCTGGTTCCTTGGCACTGACCAGCTCCATATCCTGTTAGCATCAGAGACCTCACCCATTTCACCACACCCTTAGCCCCTGGAGACATCAGATTGGGTGGTGATGGATGCACAGAGGTGTTTAAATTCCTAGCTGCTCTGTGGGTACAGGCACAGGCCAGCTCATTAGGCAGGACTCAGGCAGAGAAGGGTTATATAGGTAGTTGGTGAGGGACAGCCGGAATACGGCAAAGTAAGGCTTCCCTGGGCTTCCTGGGGTAGTTAGCCAACGGGACCCCAGAATGCCTGTCCCCAACTCTTCCATCCCGTTCCCACACTAGCCCTCCCTTCATCTATTCTCCCTGCTGTTCTCAGCAACGGCCCACCACTGCCACTAGGGTTCGGCAGGATGGCCACAGGTCTTGTCTTCTCATGAAAGTCTTGTCCACCCAGCCCTAAACTTCCTAGCAAATAAGTGACTCTGGTCCTGGAAGACCTTCTGTGAGGGGTGTGGTGACTTCCCACAAGCTGCTTTTAGCTTGCCGCCTCTTCCTCTCCACCATCTTAGTAACTGTCATGCACAACACGACCCGACCCGACCCGACCCGACCCGACCCGACCCGACCCGACCCGACCCGACCCGACCCGACCCGACCCGACCCCACCCCACCCCACCCCACCGTCCTGGGTATGCACTGCCCTCACCTGCTCCACTTTTTTTTTTTTAATCCTTTTTGCTTGTCCCAGTATGTGATCAGGGCTATGTATGAGATTGTTAGTTGATCTACACTCCATGAGAAAGACCCCCCAAAGAGGAACAGGATAGATTCTCTCTAGCGTTTGACTGTTCAGGGTCTGGTTTGACTAGAAATGCTAAGAGAGAACCAAGAACTTTAACTTCTCAGGACTCACTGTGTTTGAATGAGAATGGCCTCCACAGGCTCATGTTTGAACACTCGGTCCCCCACTGATGGAACTGTTTGGAAGGATTAGCAGGTGTGGCCTTGTTCAGGCTGTGTCACTGGCTTTGAGGTTCCAAAAGCCCATGACATTCATTCCCAGTTAGCTCTCTCTCTGCTTGTGGATCAGATGTAAGCTCCCAGCATAGCCCCAGCTCCATGCCTGCCGCCCTGCTTCCCATGTGATGGTCATGGACTCTAGCCCCCGAACTGTAAGCACCCAGTTAAACTTTCTCTTTCATAAGTTGCCTTTGTAATGGAAAAGTAACTGAAGACAGCATGACATAGTACATGCCTGTAACCCTGGAATTTGGGAGGCCAGGCAGGAAGAGTATGAGTTAGAGGTTAGCCTGGACTACAGGGAGAGACTCAAAATGAAGAAAACCACAGGTTTCTTCCCATCATGGCCAGCTATGCTGAGGACAGTAGTATATCTGTCACTATGGAAACCAAGGCAAATAATGTAACCAGAGTGTAGGACCTGCTCCCAGGAATTGGTCATTCTAACTGCAGTGTGGGCCCAAAGGGCCATTTCCAAAGTCCCTGGCCAAGCTGCCATTGTTTTTCAATTGCCCCTCCACGAACTCTAGAACGTCTTTCTTACACTGCAGGAGCCAGCATCAGGAGCCCTAGGCATGGTCAAGGGACAGCCCTCCCTGGGCTCACCTGGCTAGGCATCCCAGCAGGAGGCTCGTCCTCACTCTCAGAGTCCTCCTCACTGCTCTCAGACTCTTCTGCATGTGCAGTCCTCCCTGGTGCGGCCGGTGTACCTTCTTGGAGCCGGGACGTCACACTCCCAGACTTGGTAGGGACTGGGGCCGTCCTTGCTGGAGGCTCCTTGGCAGGGGCTACAGAAGGTTTAGCCTGGGCTGGTTTTACTGAAAGTTTCACCTAGAAGCAGGAAACAGAAGCAGCAAATGAAGAACCATTTCCCCTTTGCTGTGAAAGGGGTGTCAAGCTCTGTGGCAATGAGAAAGAGAAGGGCCCCCTTAGGCTCACGTTTGAAAACTTGGTTCCCAATTGGAGGAACTGTTTGAGAAGGATCAGGGTAGGCTTAGTTAGGTTTCAAAAGACTTGTGAATCGAAATGTGAGCCCCCAGCTCTTCCTGCTGCCATGCTTTTGACCACCATGATGGACCATAAGTCCAATCAAACTCTTATAACTTGCCTTGGTGTCACAGTCACGGTCCTATTGCTGTGAAGAGACGCCATGTCCAAGGCAAAACTTGTAAGACAAAGCATTCCACTGGGAGCTTGCTTACAGTTTTGGAGTGCAGTAGTTTGTAATTTGCCCCCATAAGCCCAAAGGGAGTGGCATTATTAGGAGGGGTGACTTTGTTGGAGGAAGTGTGTCACTGTGGAAGCCGGCTTTGAGGTCTCAGATATGCTCAAGCCACGCCAGTGTCTTACTTCCTGTTGCCTTCAGGTCAGGATGCTTCTCCAGCACCACATCCGCCTGCACGCCACCTTGTCACACCATGATGATAACGAACTATGTCTGCGAAAATGTGAGCCACCCCAATGAAATGTTATGAGAGCTGCTGTGGCCACCGTGCCTCTCCACAGCAACAGAAACCCTAAGACACTGAGGTTTAGCCCATTATCACCAGGGCAGGGAGCGTGGCAGCCTGTAGGCAGGCATGGTACTGGAAAAGTAGTTGAGAACTACATCCTGATCCACAGGCAGAGAAATGGGGTCTGGCACAGGTTTTTGAAATTTTTGAAACCTCAAAGCCTACCCTTAGTGGTGACACAATTCTTCCAGCAAAGGGCACAACTCCTAATCCTTATAATCCTTTCACACAGTTCCACTCCCTGGTGACCGAGCATTCAAAGGTATGAGCCTACGGGAGCCATTCTCAGCAATGAAAAGTAATCAATACAAGCCCCTTCCTAAAGGCACATGCTCTCCTGTCTCCCAGAGGCATGCAGAATCTTACACCTTTTCCCCCCAAAAGGCAGATTCTTCAAGGGCAGCACAAAGGCTTATAGGACCCCTAGATACCTTTGGGGCAGAACTCAGCCACCCTGCCCATTGACACCCAACAGGGTTCATCCCAAAGGGACCCTCAAACTAAAAAGCATCTGTCTGTGGTAGCTTATCCAGGGAGAGGCACCTGGTATCTGTACTGGCATGAGCTTCCTCCTGGGAATTCCTTAGTGTTGCAAATCTGACATGCCTACGGTAGCTGGCAGTCAGTCAGCCCCTGCTCTACTTCTGTGTCTCATGCCCAACACAACCCTTTGGTATCATGTTCTTCCCAAACATCTCACTGCTGCCACATCCACACTGGTTTCTGGTCCACCCAAGTGGTACCCTTAAGCTGGACGTCAGGAGCAAGGCCTGGAGTGAGGGGGTCCAGAGGTGTCCTTATGTCTTACTAGACTCAGGGCCCGACAGCAAGGGGGAAGGTAAGGAGAAGCTTGTGGCCACATCGGATAGATGGGGATGGCTCAGCCTTCACAGGGTCACTGTGTCAGTCTATCCCTGGCTCCTGCTGGCCCTCCCTCTAAATTGTCCAACCTTTTGACATTAGGATATAACATTGGAATTTACAAAGTTCATGCCCAAGACCCAACAACTGAAATAAAAACACCCCTGTGTTTTATATAAGCTTATGGCTTTGTATCAGGCTATAGGCTGGCTATACCTGTTAACCGTGTTTCTAATGAGACACCTTGGTTGCTGCCACTGGCGCCTTGTCACTGTTATGACAGCCCTTCAGTGGGCCTCACTGCTTTTACTTGACACTTTCTTTTAGCCCAGGCCACAGTAGCAGTCTTTGAGAAGTTATGCCACCTCAGTTTTGTGCTTGTAACTCTGTGACAGCCCCTCAATGACCCTACAAATAATCCTACCTAACGCCTAGCTCAGACAGGATCGAGGTCCTGACTTGTCTAATTTCATCTTGTACCACATTCCCCTCATACAAGAAATTGTGGAACTATGTGCTTCAGAAACACAAGCTCCCTCTGCCGACGCTGTGACTTCTGCCACATCTGCTCACTGGGTGTCAGTCAGGCTGACCGCTACGGCTTCTGTTTTCCTTTCCCGCTGCAGTTAAATATCCAAGTCCCCACGAAGGCAGGAGCTCTGCCTACCTGGCTCACTTTGCATTCTCAAGGCTGGTGTCAAGCACTCAAAATTCAGAGACGAGGCTGCAGACCAAGGGTCCTGTCCAATCCTAGCCCAGTACCTACCCTCACCATCACCCTCTAGGTAGCCTTACCCCTGACATCACAGACTAACTCTACCCGGGGTCTCTGCTCCCCGTTTTCCTCTCCCGGCACTCCGTGCCTACCACCCAGGAGGGTATCTCCTTCTCGTAACACTAGACCCTGGTGCTCGGCAAGCTGTACTGTGCTCTTCACTCCACGGCTGCCTAGCCTCTGTAACCTTTCCAGCTGCTGAGCTAACTGGCTCCTGGGATCCGAACACCAGCAAGGCTTCTGGGAGGGTCAGAGGCTGGAGGACAGGCGTGCCTGGGGATGGGTGTCATTACCTCTACATCTGTCTCATCACTCGAGCTGGAGGTGTCTTCACTGGAACTGCTGGCTTGGCCCGTTGACAACACTCCTGAGGGTGGACACGGGATTGAGTGCCTTTTCCACATTCACCTCCCTTTCCAGAACCCCCATGACAGCTGCTAGAAAAATCTAGGTGTTGAGCACTCTTTCTCACCTGTACAGGGTTGGGTATCTGCCCTGACCCAAAGTCCCACCGCTGGGGTAGGGAGCGTCACTACCACTTTTGCACACCCTTCTGAGGCCTTGGTAAGGCCAGCAGCACCTGATGGCTAATCAAGTCACTATTTGCTATCATGCTGGGGGATGGGGGACAAGCTGGGCAACTACCTATTCTGCCTAAGAAATGGAGACAGACCACAGTGGTCCCTGTAACCCACCTGAGAGAAGTCAGGACATGCCACCCTCTGAAAAGTCCATGTCTTGTCTAGGCAGCTGACCAGGAGGTCAGGAAAGGGAGAAATGGCTGTTTATGCAAGACCCTGACTGTCACAGAGACAAACCTGTGTTCACAATGTCTTAAATACATAGCAGCGCTTAAGCCAGCCTCCCTGTCCCGGGCCCTGGGGGCTCTCACCAGGCTTGGCAGTGGCTCCCAGGGCTGGGACACTGCCCTCCTCCTCAGTTTCGGAGGCCAAGACAGTGTTTGCCAAGGGCTCTGCTGACTTCTTGGGAGACTTCCCGGAGAGCAGGTGGACCATTGCCTTTCCTGGTGCAGGGTGCTGCACAGAGTTCACCATCTTGTTTGCTGCCTTAGTCTTTGCCTAAAGTATGAGAGGGATGAGCAGATGTCAAGACAGAACACATGAGAAACAGAGCCCCCACATGTAGGCCCAACAAGGCCATTTCCAACCTCCTTCCCTAGCCTAAGGGCAGTCAGTTCTGGCCTGTAACAGCCAACTGACCTGTCGCCTTGTCTTCACAGCGAAGACACCTGGTTGTCAGGCTGTAACAGCCAACTGCCTGTCGCCTTGTCTTCACAGCGAAGACACCTTTGTCAGGCGCCGAGTGGATTACCATTCCCGGGTCACAGTATTTCCTGCTCTGCCTTAGTTCATTGTGATATTACTACTTTTACATATTATCGCTACACTCTGGTTTAGGTGACATAATCATTTATGTACCTGCAACAGTGTTTATAGATTACAGACAAATGATACTGTCTAAGTACTTTCTGACTTAGAAAGTTTGTAGAGAGCACAAGTACAGAAATCTCATTTGGGATGGCATTCCGCTGCCTGGCAGAGCCCACAATACACCAGGTGCTGGAGAAGAGCTACTCAGCGAGCAGGTGAGTGTAGGGAGAGGAAGGAAATGGCCCATGTGCCATGTGGCCGAGGTAACGGGTACCACTTCCATTTCACAGAAAAGGCACCTGAGGCCAGACAGATGAAGACACAGACTAAGCCTTACCATCCTCTCCTGACACAGGAGACTATGCTCTACTGGGCATAACTCCCACAGGTAACAGATAATCGGAAACAACTTACCTGGGCCTTTTCCTTCTTGTTTGATGGCAAATCTGCAGCAGGGGCTGTGGAATTGACAGATGTCGGTCTTGGGACTGGAAGACACAAGTACCGTGAGCAGGGCATGCTTTTCTCATCTGAGGAAGATGGGCAGAGCTCAGTCCACCTCACAGTCCCACTGGTACTGGCTGCTTGGTGCTAGGGTGAGGACCTGAGGCCTAGCCCAGAACTATGAGCAAGAGCTCTGTGCCACTCAGCTTGCTTACCATGTCTACCCCTGCTCCACTGCACAAGACTCAGAGGTCCCCAGAGGGAAAGGACAGGCTTATATTCTCACCACCTACTGCTACAAAACATGCCCCAACTCTGGCCGTGTTCTTTGCATAGGGTGCCAACCCTTTGATAGTCACTGGCAGGCAGGGAAGTGACCAGGTAGCCAGCCCCAGGGCAACAGAGGGAGCTACGTGGGAGTCAAGTGGTTTCTTGGTGGAAATGGTGCTGACCCACGAGCTGGGCCTAGCTGGAGATGTTAAGATTCAGAATATGGATGGTTTTAGGGAATGGCCACCCTAGACCTTGGCATTTAGGGGAAGTTATAATTAAAGAGGCAATTGCTGAGCAAACCTCAGGACTAAATTCTTTTTTTTTTCTGAGACAGGGTTTCTCTGTATAACAGCCCTGGCTGTTCTGGAACTTGCTTTGTAGATCAGGCTGGCCTTGAACTCACAGAGATCTGCCTGCCTCTGCCTCCTGAGTGCTGAGATTAAAGGTGTGCACCACCACTGCCCAGCAGTACCGAGTATTTTCCTGGCACTTCAATGCAATGTTTTCAACATACCCGGAAGTACGGAAGAACACTAAAAACACCTGGCTCCAGTCTCTGCTATAACTTCCTATCAACTTGTGGCCAATCTCAGTTCACAGCCTTGCTTTCCCTTTCCACATGACACTGTTTTGAAGAAAAGCTTGACACCCTGTCACGTTACCCACAAACACTTCAAAGAGGACTCTAATTAAGCCAGATGTGGTGGCACATGCCTATAATGCCAGCACCCAGAAAGCTGGGGGCTGTTCCTGAGTCTGAGGCCAGTCTGGACTACATAGCAAGACCTTGTCTCAAGAAGAACCAAGGAAGAACAACAAAAACCCAAAACGTAAAGTCAATCACAAGTCCATCACTGAAATTCTAAAATGATTCTTGGCTCAAGAGACTGCAGGCTGGGGGCTGGCACATATGGAACAGGACCCACTACTGCTGTTTTGGTGTGAAATCGCTCCCCTGTGTATGTATTCATCTATCTGCATCGGAAGAGACCCAATACTTGTCAGAGTTGAGAGTAGTGCCTGCTGAGTTCCCAGTACTAAATGGGACACAAATCAAGCCTTCATTACAGAAGAGCAGGTAGAAAGAAAGCCAGAACTGGTGCAAAGATGTCTCATGGATATGACAAGGTCATTCCCATGAACTCACTATAGCTATAGTTAACTATGGTCAACATTCCGGCAGGCAGCACGAACCTGACTCAGTGGACTGAGTCCAACACAACACAAACATGAAAAGAAGAAGAGGATATTAAGGTAGGAGGACATACTGAAGTATCCTGGGGAAGCCAAGCAACATAAATTGTATGAAATTGTCAAAAAAATAAAAGACACTTTAAATATTGATTACTACCAGATACGCAGTCAATACAAACATTTGTTATTTCTCTTGGAAGCAGGATGTGGGTCTGTCCACATGCACGTGGGTGGACACCTGTTTGACCCGGAGAAGCGGGGCAGGCTTACCGGCTGCCCACAGAGAGACACGGGTAGGACATGATGGGGACAAGAACAGGCACCCTGTACTTTTCTTCTGTATGCTTTTTATATACAAACTGGACCTGTTTTGCATTTATGATTTAAGATCAAGATATAAAATATATAACCAATATCCTTTCAAACATCTGGCACAGCATAACAAGAAAAATCAATGAAAGACAAGATTGTAGAATTTGCAGGTGGCAAGAATGTGAGAAATTTCTCCCCTGCCTTCTCTTGAAGCAATTTTCAAATGTTCTGTAATGAACATTTTATAATGAATCCTGCATTTCCTTTATAATCAGAAAACCTAGTTAGAAACCAAGAAACTGTCTTCTATGTAAGTAATATGATGCCTTCGAGACAAAGAGACACAGCAATTGCTTGGAGGTGTTGCAGCTGCTGCCAGGAGAGAAGAGGCCAGAGGCCTCTAGACCACTCTGCTATCAGCCCTACCACACACTGCCAAAGCAAGGAGAAGATCAGTGCGTTTGAATGAGAATGTATTTGAACGTGTGGGTCTCAGCTGGTGGATTGTTTAGAAAGGATAAGGAGGCATGGCCTTATTAGAGGTGTGTCAAAGGTGGTGGGGTGGAGATGTGTGCTCTGAGGGTTCAAAAGCCCACAACAACCCCAGCCTCTGGCTCTTTGCTGCAGGCCAGAATGCAAAGCTCTCATAGACTACTCCAGTGCTTTGTCTGTCTGCTAGCCACAATGATGATCATGACCTGATCCTCTGAAGCTGTAAGCAAGCATACCAATTAAATGTTTCCTTTTATATAAATTGTCTCTTCATAGCAATAGAACAGTAACTAAAACTACCAGCAACTCTTGAAGCAGCCCCAAGGCCATTCATAAATGGGAACTGTCAACACCTTCTAAAGTGGTCCCAACACTTGCACAAATGTGGTCTCTGTCCTTTCTTTAGCAGTAGCATGGAAAACTTGGGGACTGAACTACACAGCTGTGTGGCCCTTCTTCTTTTTTCTTGAGACATGCTCATAGTTCTTGCTGGACTAGAACTTACTACATAGACCAGGCTAGCCTCAAACTCAGAAACTCACTTATCTCTGTGCTGGGAATAAAGGTTTGGACCACCACACCCAGCCTTCGGGGTCTTATGATTCTCCCTTGGATCCTCGGAGTTTGGGGTCACAACATCTGCTACAAAGGAAGGGCTCCCTGGTACTCGCTGCTCTCCCTCCGAAAAAGCCCCCCCCCATTCTGGGCCCACACTACAGGCTGATTCAGAGGGGCCTCTGCTGTAGAGCTGACTGCTACCCCACAGCTGTCCCAGGGCAGGCCCCAACCCAACACAGCACCCGGCAAGGAAGCTTCTCTTACTGGCTTTGGCAGTTTTTGTTTCTGCCTCCTCTTCCTCCTCCTCCGAGCTCTCTGAGCTGCTAATGGGGTCTGACACCCGGGACTGCTTGGCTTGCAGTGATGCATCATCCTGTGCCTTCTGTTTCTGGCCGAGCTCTGAGGTCCTGCAGGACAGGGGAGACAGGACACATCCATCATCTACTCAGCCTTCAAAGGAAATGTGCACACACAAGAGTTGAAATAGCGACACCAACACAGCGTGGAATGATCTGCGCTCTGTATCCTCACCCACTTCCTAAAGTACTATACTTAGTGTCACAAGCAGCCAATCATGCTACAGAACAGCAAGAGCTAACAACCATCAGGCGACTGGCAACAGCCCATGGGGCACTGTACAGAACATTCCAGAACTGTGTCTTCCTCTTGTGCTGGGGTCCTCGTTCTTCCCTTCCTGAACTTGAGTTTGGTGCAACAGATCTCTGCTAATGATCACCCCCACAGCACCCTGCCCAGCCCTGCCATCCAGTTTCAATTCCTGCTGTCTCCTGCCAACTGCTTTCTGGATGAGTCCTCCTCACTGCACAAACAGGCCCCAGAGAGGAGGACAGCCGCTCACTACAGTCCCCCAGTGCCTGGCGTACATCTGCAGAAAGGACCCATTAGGGACTGGCCTGGGTCAAGAAGGAAGCAGGATGGGCGGCGGGAGAGGCAGAGATAGAGAAAGAGATAGAGATAGACAGACAGTGTGTGTGTGTGTAAGGTCTAAGTCTTCACTCAGCTTAGTCCCCTGAACTTTGACCTTACCCTCCCACCCGGAAGCTACTGCCTAAGCCCCATTCTTCCCAGCTGGGTTTGACACTGCTGCCAGTTTGGGATATGCTGCCAAGGTCCCTTCTTCCTAGGAAAGCCACTTATTACATGTATCAGTTTGTTCCACCCCTGTCCTCCCAACAGAACGTGAGTTTCACAAGAACAGAGACTTTCCTTTTTCTTGGTCGTTCTCTGCTTCATCAAGGGTATTATCTGAGGAGGGTAGGGGCAGGGTTTCCACTGGCCAGTTCTAGGATTTTATTAAACAGACCACTGCGTTTGAGCTTCACGATGCAGTAAGATAACAACGCTCACTTCACAGAGGGAGACAATCTAGAAGCTCACAACAGTTGCTCAAGGTCACTCAGCTCACTTCTAGGTTTGACTTCATAGGTAACCTCAGGTCTAGGCTGACTTGGTGGGTGAGACCTTTGGTCCACTCTGTACCCCTCACCCACAGAGAGCCAGAGGTGGGAAATAATGTGTGGGACAGCTCAAAGTATAACAAGTAACACCCACACCTGGGCAGGATGGAGAGAGCAAGGACCTGAGCCCTGTGCTCTGCGCTTGCCAAGCAGCAGAGGAGTATTAAGTATGGATGGGAGGGTGACCTTAGCTCTCCCCCAGAGCCTGGTGTCCTCTGCCTTCAGAGCTGTCATAACGGAACAGTCACCATCAACCCCACTTTTCAGAAGCTCAGATAAACGCTCAGGCCCAGTACCAGGCTCCTACCTTCACCAGTCCCTACCACCACCAGCTCTCCTTTTGAGTCACACCTGCCTCTTTGATTACAACGTGAGTGACAAGAAAGAAGAAACCAGCTGGGCGGTGGTGGGGCACACCTTTAATCCCAGCACTTGGGAGGCAGAGGCAGGCGGATCTCTGTGAATACGAGGTTAGCCTGTCGACAGAGCTAGTTCCAAGACAGCCTCCAAAGCAATACAGAGAAACCCTGTCTCAAAAAAACCAACCAACCAAGCTGGGCGGTGGTGGGGCACGCCTTTAATCCCAGCACTTGGGAGGCAGAGGCAGGCGGATCTCTGTAAGTTCGAGGCCAGGATGAACCGACAGCCTCCAAAACAATACAGAGAAACCCTGTCTCATAAAACCAAAAAAAAAAAAAAAGATCCAGCTTTCATTGGGTGTAGCCAGCCACTCCTTTAGTCCCAGAACTGGAGGCCAGCTTGGTCTACAGAGTAAGATGCTGTCTCAGAAACAAAACAAAAGGAACAAAAAATAAGAAAGAAAAAAAGGTGAGCTCCAACTCAGAATGTCTCCCCGGATGATAAGCTACACACAGAGAACACCCATTGTGATATAACCTGCCTTCTGAAGGTGACAGTATCCGCAGTGGGCTATTGGAACATATCTTGGGCCACATTAGTATATTACCTCGCTGCCAAGATGATCAGTTAGGATAACCCTGCTCTATCCCTTCCATTCCGCCAGACTTACTGTTGCCAGTGTGTATAGATGTCCAGAAGGGTTGTGGGCTGAGTCAGGAAACTCTTCTGTAGAGAAATAATAACAGAAAGCGTCAATGAGTAGTCAATGAGTACCCAGCCCAATAGGTATGTATCCTCCTTGAGCCTACAATAGGTGCTTCAAAAAATGGTCTGTCTTCTCTTAGATGTCTACTTGGGCAAACAGTTCCAGTTACAAACCTTTCTGTATGATACCATGGTAAGAGGTACCTTTGAGAGGTGGGCACGTGAATAGTCCAAACCAGCATCATCCAACATCCCTAGCACAGGGATAGAAGCTGTATGGCAGTTTTCTCTACCTAACCTCTTAGATGGTTTTCAAAGGCCTGGCTAGTCAATCTCCCCCAAACACAAGACGGCCCAAATCCTGAAGGCTTCCAGGTGACATACTGGAGTCTACGGGATGTCTGGAAAGACTCAAAGGAGAAAGGGTTTCCTCTGTGTCATTGTCCTGGCTGTTATGGAACTCGCTCTGTAGACCAGGCTGTCCTTGAACTCACAGAGATCCGCCTGCCTCTGCCTCCTGAGTGTTGGGATCACAAACCAAAGGCATGCACCACCACTGCCTGGCTGGTTAAGGGTTTCAGTTAAAACAGACAAAAACAAGTACCAGGCTGAGGCTGAGGATACACTGTGTGGACATCAAGACCGAACAGCCAAGGGCTCCAACGAGAGTCAAAAAAGAGTCACACGTGGAGGAAAAAAACCAGTCTGGAAGTAGGAGCCTACTCACTGGCTGAACTCATTTTTTTTTTTTTCTCTGCAAACTCCAGGATCCTTCTTCACAGCTCAGTAAATGTAAGATGGGAAGGGTTGCTGTCAGTCTGAAGGGCACTAGCTAGTCAACTTCATTCTGCACTATGCCAGTCATAATAAGTAAGTTGGGCCACCAGCTCCTAACAGGGCTTTGCCATTCCTGTTACTGTTCTCTCTTGCCAACTGCCAGCCTGACTCCCCACCTCCTTCTAGTCTCTACTCCAATGCCATCTTCTCCATAAGACTGCTCTGACCACCTGAGTTGTAACTGGAGTCTGACATTCCATATCCTCCTTGGTCCCCTCACCGTGGCCAGCACCTGCCACAATCTTCGAGAACAGGACACTCTTGCTTGGGCACACAAACCGTGATGATGGGCGCTACGTCCCGCTTCCCCTATTTGTTAAGTTACACAGCTGGAATACCAATGGGAAGGGCCCAGAGGTCCAGGAAGGCCAGGAAAGCCACAGATAACATCCTAAAGCCCAGCAGCCTTCGGTTTGTTTGTTCCTGAGACAGGTTCTCACAACATAGCCCTGGGCTGGCCTTGAATTCACAACAGATCCACCTGTGTGATCCAGCCTCAATTTCTAGAGGGTTGGAATTACAGGCAAGCACCAGGTTAACATCCATCTCACCAGTGAGTACCACTGTTCTTCTGGGAAGATGACCCATGGATCATCCCAGCCTTTGCCTTCATCTCTCTGGGAGACCCCATAGTCGTGCATTTCAAACTTCAGCAAACTTTCTGGAGGCTAGGACACTCAGAAGCTCCACTCCAACTCCAGGGCATCAACACCTCTCACTATCCTTGAGCACTCCAAACCAACTACTACACCCAGATTCTGCCAGCGATGTTTTAACACCTCAAATCTCCCATTCTACAGTTTAAGACAATGTTAACCGTACAGACACTCCTGAGTCTTTTGTATCCTCTACTAGGCTGTGAGATGAGCAGAGAGGCCTGAGACTGACGCTCCCCATTTCATCATCTGCACCTCGGGGTCAAACTAAAAGTTGCCAAGTGGAAGAACTTTGAAATTACTGCACCGTGAGTTCGAGTCTTGTTATAACCGAAGGCAGTCAAGGGCCCGCACGCCCTGCATTCCAGATCATCAACTAAGGGGGCCTTCCTCTCGGTGTTCCAAACAAGAGTGGTGACAATCCACCCCGAGAACAGCGGTTAGCAGGGTGCCCTAGGAAAACTGCATAGAGCCACGTGGCCTGAGCCTAGGGAAACTTTAAACCTGCGGCTACCGGGAACCGGGGCGGGAATTACAAAGCTGCATGCCTCGGATCAGAGGTTCCGGCCCGCCCACTGCACCGACGAGGAAACTGAGCCCCGGGAGGCGGCTGGAAGTCGCAGGGAGTAGAGCAGGGCTTAATGCTCCTCCTGAACCCCTGGCCCCGCATCTCGGACCCGCGCTGGCCGGGTCTCCATGGAGGGGCGCGGGCTACTGTTCTCTAGGTCTTGCACTCGGCCCTCCAACGCTTACCTGGCCGCTCTGTTCCTTCACTTCCCGCGCCGCGCGGACGTAGCCAGCCTGCAGCAGATGATGGTAGATGAGGGGAAGCAGCTCCCGTCGCTTCCTGGCCTCGGCCATGCCAGAGATCCGGCCAGCCTATTCACGTGCACGCCCCCTAGCCCCCCACCAGCCTTTTCCCTCGTGCCCTAGGACCTCATGCTCCTCACTTCCGGCTTTGCGTCACCCAGCCGTGTGGCGCGCTGGGAAATGTAGTCTTGCAGCTGGAGTGGGCGATCCTGTCTGAGAGGGCGGAGCCACAAAGGCTAGTCAGCTCTGCCATTGGCTTGGAGGCGTGACCTGATTTGAACCCACCCTCGGGCCGGCCATGATGCTTCATCTTAATTCTGGTTTACTTTTTTTTTTTTTTTTCGAGAAAGGAGGGTCTCTCTGCGTAACAGTCCTAGTTGTCCCCTAGCTGTCCTGGAATTCACTTTGTAGATCAGACTGGCTTCGAATTCAATCCCAAGTTCTGGGATTAAAGGCGTGCGCCACCACCGCCCTTAAAGGGTTTTACTGTCCTGGTCCCTTAGGGCGTCTTTATTCATCTTCGAACTTCCAGATCACTGGCCCCAGCTTCCAATTGCTCATTATTTGCACACAGTGTTTAGGACCCATAAACTAGGCATCAGTTGTCACCAGTGTGTTGAATCTAAATAAATCCTTACCTGAGCCCCATGTGCTAGGCTAACACCCAGCTAGACTGGAGACTTGTAAAGAGAAACAAAACAAGCAGTTGACCTCAAAGATCACCCAGGCGGGAGATACAGTTGACAATTGCAGTTCAAGAGAAGGCAGAGCCCATGGAAGCATGGAGGAAGGGCACCTAACCCAAAGAGGCTTATATACATTTAGACTCAAAGCCAGGAGACACCCCACCCCACCCCGCTCCCCACACCCCAGATAGGGTTTCTTTGTGTAGTCCTAGCTGTCCTGGAACTCGATTTGTAGACCAGGCTGTTATAGAAACCACAGAGATTCCCCCCTGCCTCTGCCTCCTGTGGGCTGAGATTAAAGGTGTGCACCACCACCTCCCAGCAACAGCAAGAACTGAAACTTTTGAGCACCGAGGAGAGGGCAGGCTGGAAGTGCTGTGTGAGTCAGGATGTGTGAACCACCTTGGTGTATGGTAAGGGAACCCCAAACTCTGTACTGCTAGGCCGGAGAGTTGTGAAAAACAGGGTCCAGAACACCGGAGGATGGAGAAGCAGGCTTATAGTATCTTTCTCCCAGCAGAGTTCTGACATGCTCCAAGGAGATTACAAAACCAGGGGCTGGTGGTGAACCATGCCTTTAATCCTAGCACTCAGGAGGCAGATCTCTGAGTTCAAGACCAGTCAGGTCTATAGAGCAAGTTCCAGGACAGCCCCGGTTACACAGAGAAACCCTGCCTCCAACAAACAAAGAACTCCGATGTGGCTGCTGTGTTTGATGAGGGGACACGGACAGGGAAAGAATGGGAGTGGCCTGGGCATATTTGAGGCAGCAGTTCTTAATTTCATGGGCAGGTTGGAAATCTACTGGTAGCTTTCACTCTAGGAGTGTTATATCTGTCAACATACATTTCCACCCAAATTCAGGACTCACATAAGCAGGTATGATGATTAATCTTCAGGGGCAACTAGGCTTTAGAACTACCTAAAAGATACTCCTATGGGCGTGTCTAGTAAGGCGTGTCTGGGTAGGGCATCCAGACTGAAAGCCTAACAAAGGCCTGCCTGCATTTTTGTCTTTCTCTGCTTCCTGGCCTGCTGACATGTAACCAAAATTCCTGCTGCCGTACCTTTCCTGCCATGATGGGCCGTGAACTGTGACCCAGAATTAACTTTTCTAATTTAAGTTGCTTCTTGCCAGATATTTGGTCATAGGAACAAGAAAAGTGACAAATGCACACTCTAGGAGATGCGCAGAGGACCAGGTGACAATCGTGAATGTAGTGTGTGAGGAAGCAGACTAATCTATTTGGATATCGAGCAAATATTTATTGAATAGCTACTATTGGAGACCAACTGGTCTGTACTCCTGCAAAGCTTGCAAGACTAATGAGGCAGGCACATGCTAAGCAAATAGCCATAGCATACACTGAAGGGCCAGATCGCCTTTTCTTGGGGAATGGTACAGTGTTTGAAAGACGCATTGAAGTCATACTATCTGGTTTTAAAAATTTGGCTTTGTTTCATATTAAGTGGGCTTGGCAAGTTTTATAATTTCTCTGTACCTTAGTTTATCTGTGAAGTGGAGGCAGTTGTCATTTCTACCTACAGCGGTTGTCATGGGGGGATTAGAGATCTAAGCAGAAATGTTTAGAAAGGTTCTTAACAATAAAATGAAGTACCTTAGTAATTACTGCAAAATAACAGGAAGAAGAGATCCCTCTATTCTTAGGAGAAGCAGAAACATTCCCAGAGGAAGTTTATGAAGAAACCTGAATTATGTGTGAGGAGGTCTGGGTTAGAAAAATCATAGTCAGAGGGGCACCTATTAAAAGAGCTTGAGGTAGAAGGTACAACTGAATCTGGGAGTGGTGCTGATGCTGGGAGAGATGCTGAAGCTGGTAGTGGTGCTGAAGCTGGGAGAGATGCTGAAGCTGGTAGTGGTGCTGAAGCTGGGAGAGATGGGGAGAGATGCTGATGCTGGGAGTGGTGCTGAAGCTGGGAGAGATGCTGAAGCTGGGAGAGATGCTGAAGCTGGTAGTGGTGCTGATGCTGGGAGAGATGCTGAAGCTGGGAGAGATGCTGAAGCTGGGAGAGATGCTGAAGCTGGTAGTGGTGCTGAAGCTGGGAGAGATGCTGAAGCTGGGAGAGATGCTGAAGCTGGGAGAGATGCTGAAGCTGGTAGTGGTGCTGAAGCTGGGAGAGATGCTGAAGCTGGGAGAGATGCTGAAGCTGGGAGAGATGCTGAAGCTGGGAGAGATGCTGAAGCTGGGAGAGATGCTGAAGCTGGGAATGGTGCTGATGCTGGGAGAGATGCTGATGCTGGGAGTGGTGCTGATGTTGGGAAAGATGCTGAAGCTGGGAGTGGTGCTGAAGCTGGGAGAGACGCTGATGCTGGGAGTGGTGCTGATACTGGGAGAGATGCTGATGCTGGGAGTGGTGCTGATGCTGGGAGAGATGCTGATGCTGGGAGAGATGCTGAAGCTGGGAGTGGTGCTGAAGCTGGGAGTGGTGCTGAAGCTGGGAGTGGTGGCCTATGCCTGTAATCCTAGAACTCTAGACAGAGACCAGGGGATCACTCTGAGTTTGAGGCCAGTCTGGTTTACATAACAAGTTCAATACAGCCTGGGCTACATATACAGTGACACTCTGTCTCAACCTTGCCTTACTCTGGATAAAGGCACAACTTGGGGAAGAGGCAAGTGGAAGTGACCAGAGGTGGACTATGGCCGGGGGACTGAAGAGCATAAAAGGATAGCAGAAGGCAGACTACATATTAGAAGTTTTTTCTTCAGCTTGAGGGTGGTTGGAGGGCAGTGGCAATGTGAACCCTAGAGGGATAAGAGGGATAGGGTACCATATGAATTGAATGTGGTCTGTGTGAGTGTCCAGTGGGGAGTACAGTGAGGGGGTATTAAGAGCCAGAACGAGCCAGGTGGTGGCGGCACACACCTTTAATCCCAGCACTCAGGGAGGCAGAGGCAGGCAGATCTCTGAGTTCAAGCCCAACCTGGTCCACAGAGCTAGTTCCGGGACAGCCAAGGCTACACAGAGAAACTCTGTCTTGAAAAACAAACAAAAACCAAAGAGCTATAATGATGAGAGGTCGGGACAGCATGGGAGCAAGCGGAGGGTGGAGTAAGCTCTGTGACACAGAAGACCGATGGCCTAGGGTGGTGCTGAGAGCTGGTCAGAGACACCCCCGACTCCTGTTGGCATGAGAGCATGAGCCAGGAGCAGTTCAGGGCAGAAGGGTTATGGAGTGTCTGTGCAAACAGGTGAGCAGAACCTTTCAGATGAAGTAACAGGAGGAGAACTCGGGGAGGGGGAAGAGAACGGGGAAGGGGTGGCAAAAGGGAAGCAGAGTGTCAGTCCTCCCTCAGACATCCTGTGGTTAGTAAGCCACAGGTTACTAAGGTTAGTAAGGTGTTTGCTTTCCTCTCTGTGTATGTGTGCTGCTTGGGATGGCATTGGGGATGGAGCCCAGAGCCTTGTGAGTGCTAAGCAAGCATTCTACCCCAGTGCTATACCCCAGGCCCTTAATCTGGTTTGGACACAACTTAGTCTGAGCCAGGAAAAAAAAAGATAGAAATCTGTCAGTAGAAACAGGTTCCTTGGGACTCTGAGTGTAGACATACTGCTCACCAAGAACACACACACAGAGAAAGAAGGGGGTACCAGAGGTGGCTTTGAGGCATGTCCACAGGTTAGATCTGTTCAAAAGACAAGCCCACTGGAGCTGAAGAAACCAGCCAGAGGGAGCTTAGTGAGAAGTTTCAGGAATGTGGAATGGTGGGGAGTGCTCCAGGGATGCCAGAGGAGACGGGCATGGATCATACTTGGTTAGAATACTACCATGGAAGAGTAACTCAAGGAGTGCTGCATGCAGATCAGGGAGGGCTGTGGAGGTGCTTGCTATCAGGAAGTTTTGTGTGGAGGAGAGAAAAGTGTGCGTGTGCGTGCGTGTGCGTGTACGTGCGTATTTGAAGAGGTGTGCTTTGAGTTGGAAGAGACCTAAGTTGCTTTAGAAACTGATGCAGGGGCCAGGCGTTGGTGGCACACGCCTTTAATCCCAGCACTCGGGAGGCAGAGGCAGGCGGATCTCTGTGAGTTCGAGACCAGCCTGGACTACCAAGCGAGTTCCAGGACAACTTCCAAAGCCACAGAGAAACCCTGTCTCGAAAAACCAAAAAAAAAAAAAAAAAAAAAAAACTGATGCAGACCCAGGGGAGAGAGGGAGATGCTGGGAAGCATTTTAGGTGGGGAAGCTGGGGAAAGAACTAGGAAGCGATGTTTGAGGGCCTGTGGGAGGGAGAGATCAGGCTGTGGGTGGAGGGCTGGTCTGAGAGAGGGGGAGGGAGGACTTCAATAGAACCCCAAAGCGGGGAGCCTGGAGAGAATGGGTACACATGTGGATGTAGGTTTGCAGTGGGATGTTAGAGGAGATTTCATCTTGAACTTCTATTTTTCTCTTCCAAGTAGGAGGCAAGGTCTGCTAGAGTGAAGAAGAGGGGGTGAGGAGTTGGAACGT